TGCGATGCGCCACTTCAAAGGGGGGAAGCGCTCCCTCGGTGAGCGTCGTCCCCTCGAGCGATGCTCTGGACGCCATCAGATACAGGGAAAGCACGTGACTCATCAGCGGTGCCACCCTCCGTGTGTGATAGGCGCCGATGATGCCCGACCCCTTCATGCCCCTCTCCTTTAGAATTCGGATGGCAGCGAGATGGTCCTAGATTTTCTTGTCTTTATCTAGGACACCCCACTTCCACGGCTCCGGGACCTCTTCGATAATGCGCCCGGAGAACGCTGGCAAGGGGGCAGCTGCGTCGTCCTTGATGTAAAACCAAAGCGAATGCCACCCCTTGTTGGAGGTCGACAGACGCATCGACGGGTATTCGTTTACCCGATTGTTGCGGAGATGAATGTCGGCACATCCCACCCGCACGCTCAGCTCTTGCCTTTTCTCCCGCTTCTTCAAGAGGGTGACGGCAAAGAAATACCGCCACAGGTCGAAGTGGGGACTAATCCCCAGGAATCCCTCACACAGGGCAACGAACGCCGCAATGTGTTGGACTCCGTTGGGGGTAAGATGTTGCAGCTCCACCTTGTAGTAGTGCAGCAAGCCCTAAAGAAACTTGTGGGCGGGTATGGCAAATCCCCGCTCGTGGAAGTGAGCGAAGGATATGACATACCCTTCGGGCGGCGACGGCGCGTCCTCATTGCCGGGCAGCCGCCACTCCTCGGCGGCGGCCCACGAGCAAAGGAGGCCACGGCGAACGAGGCCCTCCAGACGCTGAAGGGTGATATCGGATTTGCACCACTGCTCCATTGAACAATTGGGAGGGGTGGTTGGATGCGAGCTTGACGGCGGCTATGATGCGGGTGCGGGAGGCTCAGGTGATCGGCGGCGGAGGTTGTAGATGCAAAGGCGAGGAGGCAAAGTACGAAACCCTGTGGGTGAACCCTTTGGTTTTATAGGGGCGACGGATGCGAGAAGGGCAACCGTCCGCCTAGATCTCCGTGTCTGCCACGATACACCACCACGTCATGTCGCGGGATATGCGTCCACGATCCCTATCCTTTTCCACCAAAGTCGCGCCGGACATTTCACCTTTCCGGGCAGACCAGGACTATTTTCCCGTAGAGGGGATACGGGTCAAAAAGCATTTCTCCGACCCGCCTAGGCCTAGGAGTTCGAGGGCTGGCCCAATAGTTTCGACGGCTGTCCCGACGAGTGATGGGCTCGCGAGCGGACAAAACTCAGGCGCACGAGCCTCAAGGGAGTCTCGATCCGCAATTAAGTCTCAACCGGGCTGACTCTAGACGAATCCCCATGAACGGGACACCAGGGTTCCCTTTAAACTATCCAGTTATCAAACACCAAATCTCACGGCCATACCCGCGAAGGGTCCGAATTACCCCCCCCCCCCTCGGGCAATTCTATCCGAATCACTCGGGGGCTCGGGGGCTACACCTGATGGGTGCGCTCGCGCGCACCCTCTTACGAATCGAAATACCCCCGGGCGATTCTATCCGAAACACCCGGGGCTTGGGGGCTACACCCGATGGGTGCGCTTGCGCACACCCTCTGGCAAGTCAAATCACCCCCTGGGCGATTCTATTTGAATCACCCGGGGGCTTGGGGGCTACTGTCGGCGACCTAATACTGGGGTACCCAATGAGGTGGAGCTAATAACCATCAAACGTTGATGCTTCCAAACAGACAAGAACGCAACCGCACTTCTTGCCCATACGACCGAAGGATGGCCACGCCTCGCTCGGCCCCTGAGGGTTGGCTCTGCCTCGCCCGACCCCCGAGGGCTGGACTCCGCCTCGTCCGACCCCCGAGGGCTGGCTCCACCTCGCCCGACGGTTGAGGGCTAGCTCCGCCTCACCCGACGTCTGGGGCTAGACTCCGCCTCGCCCGACCCCCGAGGGCTGGGCTCTGCCTCGCCCGACGTCTCGGGACAGGCTCCGCCCCGCCCGACGTCCCGGGGCTGGCTCCGCCTCGCCCGACGACTGCACCCTGTTCCTTCATAACGATGAGCATAGGGTGAGACAGGACATTCGAGTCAACCGCAGTACCGAGGACCATACCCTGCATGCCTGCGGGCAGGTACCGTCAGGATATGCCAGGACGGGCGCTTTAAGCCCTTCCAGGCGTGGCGAAGCCCGAACAGTGTTGTAGGCGCCGACTTTTGTCTTACAGTGTTGTGGGCGCCGCCATCAGCCCTCGGACGCGGATCCTGACATAAGCATATGACAACCACTACAATCCAGGAGGGAGCTCACATCATCTACAGTAATGGACGTATGGTCACTTCCTCGTCTGCTCCCCTAAGGGTCACGGCTTGGCACCCTGGTACGCCGCACCGTCCGTCGGAGTAGGATGGGACGTGACCACTTGCTGAACGAAGTCGGAGCACGGCCCTATCAGGATCAACGAACATGCTATCCCTGGCACCGTCTACCATGTCAACAAGGCAGACTCAAGGGAAAAGGAAGACCCGGCACCTTCGAAGGACCTTCTCTACCTCTAGTTTTTCCTCTTTCTCTCATCTGTAATCCCTGCTCCCCCTAGGACTATAAAAGGGAGGGCAGGGCACCCCACTAAGGGGACGGATCGATTTCACACACAATACACAGCCAAACAGCAACCGAACTCTTGGCATCCTTTCGACCTTTCCATTAGAGACTTGGGACCTATCCCTCTCTCGACCGTTTGTACCCCCTACTACGAACATTTTTTTAGTGTTAATAACACGATCAGCAGCAAACTGGATGTAGGGACATTCTGCCCGAACCAGTATAAACCTTGTGTCCTTTAGTACACCATCCGAGCCTAACGCGCAACAAATATAAATTTACTAATTGATGTTTATTCGAAACACCGACAATAGCATTCTTTCTTCTCCTTAATAGCCCTTTAGACTTCCTCGTTCCACCACCAAGTATCTTTAGCCTCGCCTCCACTTTCTTTGGTTACTCCACACCTCTGAGGCCACCGTCCGAATGTTGGTTGCCATCTTCTCCCACATGCTGTTTATGTCCTCTTCTTTCTTCCAAGAGCCCTCTTTGATAACCCTTTCCCTGAATACCTCTGACGTCTTCCCTTTCAGTTTCCACCACTTTGTTCTTTCAATCTTAGCTTATTTATCCCTATGGGCATGCACCTAAAAACGAAAGTCTGACACCAAAAGCTTATGTTGAGAAACAACACACTCCCGTGGTATCACCTTGCAACCCAAGCATGCTTGTTTGTCCTTTCTTCTTGCGAGGACAAAGTCAATCTGGCTAGAGTGTTGTCCACTACTGAAGGTCACTAGATGAGATTCTCTCTTTCTAAAGAAAGTATTGGCTATCATCATGTCAAAAGCTACCACGAAGTCCAAAACTTCCTCCCCCTCCTGATTCCTATACCATACCCAAAACCTCTATAAACTGCCTCGAAACATGCGCTTGTAGTACCTACATGCCCATTAAGATCTTCTCCTATAAAAAGCTTCTCACTACTATGTACAGCTCTAATCAGACCACCTAAGTCTTCCCAGAACTGTCTCTTAGCACTCTCGTCGAGGCCTACTTGGGGGACATATGCACTAATTACGTTCAAGAACATATCACCAACGACAAGCTTGACTAAGATAATTTTATCTCCTAGCCTTCTTACTCCCACCACACCATTTTTGAGGCTCTTATCAATCAAAACTCCTACTCCATTTCTATTCACGACTGCCCCTGTGTACCAAAGCTTGAAACCTATGTTGTTCACTTCCTTCGCCTTCTGACCCTTCCATTTAGTCTCTTGAACGCATAATATACTTACATGCCTCCTAGTCGCGGTATCAACTAATTCTCTTAACTTACCTGTAAGCGACCCTATATTCCAACTATCTAAACAGATCCTAGTTGGTTCGACTAGCTTTCTTACCCTTCGCACTCGTCGACTCAGATGTGAAGACCCTTGCTCATTTTTCACTACACCCGGGCGCCGATGTAGCGCGCCACTAAGGAAGCGACGACCCGATCCTTGCTCACTTGACACCATGCCTAGATCGCGACACGGCGCGTCACCAAAGGGGTGCTGCCCCGGCCCTTGCCCATTTAACACCATACCCGAGTTCCGATATGGCGCGTCGCTAAGAGGGTTACGCCCCAACGGTTTTCTTTCGGGTTTCATCTCCATTAGAATGGCTAGATTTAACGTTGGCTCGCCACGCCTATCACAACCCTCCTCCTTTACCAGGGCTTGGGACCTGCTATGTTGAGACAACATAGGCGGAGTTATCCAGATATAAAGATATATAGAATATAAATGTAGCAATCAAAGTAAAAAACATGCCAATCCTACAGGAAGGAGCTGCATATGATATATGTAAGTATGCGCTATGAAGTTCGCAAGCCCGTAGAGTAAGTGTGAAGCAAAGGGCCGGAGTAAAACTAAGTAGTGTCAAGTCAAAGAGTGACAACATGTGAGCATTGAAGTACCCCTTCAATCCCAAGAACGAGAAGTGACCGTGAGGAGAAAAAGCTTCTAGTCCTTCGATTGACTTCGAAGGTAATCAAGCAAAGCAATCGAATCTAATTTATGTACAAATTAAGAAACTGAAACAATTTCTGGACAGAAAGTAAGCAAACTAAACTGGTTGCTGATAAAATAACTATTTGCACTGAGAAGGCTTGATTAAACCTCAAAAATAATGTAAATATACACTCGGAAGTACAAATAAGCCATCTAAGTGTCCTCTTGTTGACATTTTGAGGATTTTTTTGAAGAAACATTTTGAGGATTTCTATCTAATCCAAGTGATCGGAAAGATCTATGTACCTCATTTTTCTGATTTCGTCTAGGGGGACAACTGATCGAATGCATTTTATCTAACCTCTCTGATGGATGTAACTGTACCAGATGAATTCACGTGGGCAACAGGTTCTCATGGTATTTTAGAAACATTATGGGCTAGTAATGCGATTGTTCAATGCACCATACTTATCATATCATTGATTCAATGGTATGTTGTACTCTTTCCATGCTATGTGCCCGCAAAAGCATAGGTATTAATCAGTGACTTGTATTCTTCATCCTCAGCACATCCTCTACTTGTAAGTACACTCACTAACCTGTCTGCACCTTCTGCGTCATTCTTCTCCTTAAAACTTGCCAGGAGACTCTCAACATTGGTGGGCCTTGGTTTCCATTTATTTGCACTTTTAATTGCTGTGGCTTTTTCCATACATGACAGGGCTTCAGACATTTTATCATCCTTCATGTAGGCTGTGGCAAGGATTTCCCAGGTGTTTGGCTTGGGATTTCCACCTTTCTCAACAAATCGATTCAGAGTTTGCTCAGCCTTTGTAATCAAACCTTCTTTAGCATACCATGCTAATAAAATGTTCATGGTCTTAGGATCGAAACTAGAGCTTTTGGATGCCCATTCCTCATATAGAAGCTCGGCTCCCTCGATATCTCCTATCCTTATAAGAGCAGACAGTAACTCCTGGTAACCCAGGTTATGAATCATAGGGAAAGTTGCCTTATACCAGTTCCAAATACGGTAAACTTCTTCCTTCTTGCCAAGATGGCTATAGAGTGTCATGAGATAGTGAAAACACTTTTTCTCCCGACCAGTTGTTCCCTTTTCAGCATCTTTCAAGCATTCTTCTGCCTTGTCAGAGTTTCCTAGCTTAATATACATGCTAGCCAGAGTAGTATAAGTAGTCCAATTGGCAACAACAGACTCATCAGCAATCATCTGGCTAAAGACTCGCTCCATTTCTTCAGCATCTTGTTTAGCCGCGCAACTCTTTATCCAAATGTTGTAAGTGCAGACATCAAAAGAAACATTTCTTTCCTTCATCTCATCAATAATTGCCAACACTTCATTAGGTTCCCCAGAATCCACATAGAAATTCATCACCACATTACAAGGTAATGTATCAGATGCAAATCCTTTTTTCCTCATTTGCTCAAATGTGTCTTCTGTTTTCTCTTTCATCATAGCTTGGGCGTAAACATTGAGAAGGGAACCATACGTCCGCTTGTCCTTCATGGCATCAGGGAGCTCATCAAAGTATTTCTCAGCATGTGAAACGGCGCGTACTTTAGCAATTAGATCCAACTGGATTGCCATGTCACTCGATGAGAGAGAAAATCTATCTCTGCGCTCTGTCATCCAATCGTAAACCTGTACATGTGATAGAAAAATTTGGTGAGGACCAATATCAACGCTATCACTCTTATGCTTGGCCACAGAAGGTGCAGCAAGAATGTTGTAGATTCTAATGCCTTCCATCAATAAGCATTTTCGCAGGATGAGCAGCGAAAGGATTTGTGAGATCGGTAAGGCAACCGAGCTATTGTTTCCTACCCCTAATTATTGATCCTACCCAGCTTGAACAGTACCCTTTTTTTTCAATTGGGTTTCACATTCATGAATAAACCGCTCCAATCAATATAGTTAAGTAGATGGGGATCCGCCGAATTGTTTTGAAGGGAAAAAAATCATGAACAGACAGTCGCGCTGGCTGAAACAGAAGGGGAATAGGTAGGTGGGAGGAACCACGCATGCGGATCGCAATAGTATAAACTACCTGGAGCGCGAGGTTGAACCTCCTGAACTTTCGGAGCTCCTTGGCGATGCGGCAGAGCTCCCACTTGTCGAGGCGGCGCTCCCCCTCGTCCCAGGCCCCCAGCGTGCGCCCCACGGGCCGCCCGCCGTGCCCCACAGCTATGCGCCGGTACAGGGTGCTCCAACGCAGTGGAGGTCGACGCTCGTAATCCACCGCCCCATAGCTGTGCACCTTCACCACCTGCTGCCCGGCAGCAGCAGTCTCCGATGCAGACGACGACGGGGTGCCCGAGGAGGAGGAGGAGGCCGCGCACCTCACAGTCACTGCAACCACCGCGGCAGCGACACACGTACGCCGCTGAGGCGAGGGGCGTGCCGGGGTTAGGGGGGAGGAGGAGGTGACGAGGTGGAGCAGCATGGTGAGCGACGGGCGGGCGAGGAGCCGAGGAGGAGGGCGGCTTCCGCTGCGGATGAAGCCAAGGGGATAAGAGTGGGGACTGGGGAGGCGGAGGATGCGCGGGTTCGGGGTTGGTCTGGTGCTTTAGGATTCGTGCGCGGGAATCCGCACGATCCGGGCCCACGACCGCCTGCCTTTCCGTCTTCCCGCGCGGATTTGTATTGATGGACCGTGATCTGTTTCACTTTGGGCCGTGGTTCGGCCTGTTAAATCTGCAGGGGAAAAATAATCCATTTTATCTCCCTATCGTCTTAATCTAACTTTCATCCTCAAACTCTAAAATTATAAATTTTATCATCTGAACTCTCAAATCATTCCAAATTACCTCTATTCCCTAGTTTGAAATGGTTTTGAAGGTAGTTTTGTCCTTTCTTAGTTAAAAAAATCAAGTAAATACATTTCATAAGGTTTTTAAACCATAGAAAATGTCTCTAAGCTTCTAAAAATTTGGAGAAGAATCCTATAGATATATTGGAAAAAAAATCCAAATAAAATACATAGATCTCGTGAGAATAAATCTAGAAGCTTCCCAAAAATAGATTTAGCTCTAGAAAAATGGGAAATATCTTGAGAAATCCTAAAACATTCTAGTTGATGTCTAATCACGTTTCGAAAGCTCCACAATAAACATAAGTTGAAACTCACATGAATGTGTTAAACATTAATGTATATTGCAACCATGCTGGTTGCATCTCATGGTTTTTTTTGTATGTAAGGTTTTCTAAAGCATGTTTAGACATGGATTAGAATGATTTGGTATTTGTTTTCTTTTTCATGATATTTTTTTTCATTTTACAAGAGCTAAACATAATCTTTGGATTGGAAGTTTCTTGATTTATTTTCATAAAGCTCTAAATATTTTAGGGTTGGTCATATCCTAATCTACTCTAGATTCTTGGAACTTTTAGAACCTTAGAGACATTTTTTTGTGGTTCAAAAGCCTTGTCATGTATTTATTAGATTTTTTAATAAAAAGGGACAAAATGCCTTCAAAACCATTTCAAACTAGGGCAAGGAGGTAATTCAAATAGTTTTGAGAGTTGAGGAGGTAAGATGTCTGGTTTAAGAGTTTAAGAAGAAAAATCAGACTATGCGTGGAGATAAAATGGACTTCTTTCAATCTGTGACTGCTCCGGCCCAATACTGCTATTGATCTATTTGGGAAACCAAGTTGTTGGCCACCTCCTCCCCCACCCACCCCCACCAAGTCCATATGCATATCTTTGGGGTCACTAAATTGGTAACTATTTTTTATTAACGATTTTTGCTTTTATTTTACACTTCTAAAAATATAAAACATGAACTCATCCATGTTTAATTGGTATAGATGGTTTGGGCTGGCGACAACTTTCCTTTCTTCTATCAAGACACGTTTCTTTCCTTGAGCATCTTATTCGGTTATTCCTCTTCTTTGCCCTCCGCTTCTCGACTATGATACTTAGCCTTCACCATCTTCTCACAAAATCGTCAACTAGAAGGCTGCGGGCATGGCACTTGTATTATTTCTTTCTGCGCGCATCTTATTCCTCTTTTCCACCCTCCACTTCTCAGCTACACCAACTTTCACCATCTCGTCACAGAGCCATCAACCTGACCTTCACAACCGCAAACACATAAATTCTTGTGTTATTTTGTTCTTCAACGGAAGACCTTGCATGACCAAAGTAGTTTGGATGATTGAGTCATCGCAAGATTCCACCCCTTGTCCACTTCTAGCTTTAATTTGGGTGTCGCCGCCGTTATCTTAGGTGAGGATCTATATAAGATAAGCAAATTTGAAACTTGGATCTTTTAGACAATAGTTGCAATTTGAGTTGTTATGAGATAGAATTCAACGTTTTAAATAAAAAAGTTTTCGATCTCTGGTGGAAAGGAAAAAATGTCCAGTCAAAAGCTTTAGATCCGAGTTGATGTTTTTTTTATACGCAGATTCAAAGTTATGAAATGGAGTCGAAATTCAGGCAATTACTAGAGAACTTGCCTTGTTCAAGTTGAAAGATGAGATCTTCGAGGATTGGAGATATTTAGAGAGGTGAGCAGCCAGCTCCACACAGGGAGGGAGGGGAGGTAAAATTTTCTAACTATAGAAAATATAAAGTCTCAACAGTTTGCTTATACCAATTATAAGCAAATGGTGTTGATATTCAGGCAGTTACTAAGAACTCGCCTTGTTCAAGTTGAAAGATGGGATCTTCGAGGATTGGAGATATTTAGTGGAGGTGATCAGCCAGCTCCACACAGGAAGGGAGGGGTGGTAAATTTTTCTAACTATAGCTTGCCTCAACAGTTTGCTATATCAATTATAAGCAAATATCTGTCAAAAGAACAGTGGAAACAAATATAATCTGGTAAAGCTATATCAGTTGAATCGTCAAAATGTACAAACAGAAAAGTAAAGCACAATGTGTTGGCATTTGCTTCAAATCATGTACTAAGCCATATATCACAATTAAAAAGAACAATATCCTGTCAAGATGATTCAACAAGTAGGACTGATTGTGCTGGTTCGAAGTGAAACCATTTGGAGAAAGGGTTGTTTAGTTTGAGCTTTTAACTTTAAGTAGCCAAACCATTATTTTAGGTACCATGATAAAGCCTCATGAATGTCAAAACCCGGATAAATTTTTTTTTTTAGTTTATAACCGCCAAGTAGGAGCAATGCATTTCCCACATTCAGATTTGACTCAATCCGGCCTAGGTGTAGTCTAGGCAATGCAAAAAAAAAATATATATTAGGAACACGGTCGAATTCTAACAAAACCAAGTGCTGACAAAACTGAGGCCACTAAGGCTGTTGCCAGTAACCTAAGGCCATGTTCAGTTGCACATATCTCCAACTAACGCTATCATCATCCACATTGTCTTGGCTCAAGAGTCAAAACTCAAGAGGTCCTGCAATGCAGACACGAACAGCCATGCACATGCTCTCAACTGGACAAACAGGTGAGCTAACTAACACTTCAGCGCCCATAGCAAACAATATCACATACATAACTCTCCAATACCCTATCTTTTTTTTTCATTTTCCTGCAATAAGGTGATATATTTTCCACACAGAGATAAGTTAATACTTCTCCATGAGCCATATGCTACAGAAAACCAGCAGAAACCTAATCCAAAAGCATGCTACAAATGTTAGCTGAACGGACAATTTGGCAAGTTGGCAGACGACGCACATTGTTATGTAAATTAGGGCAATGACAGACGCATAACGTCCATTGGTGATCGGCAAATAGAGGCGCCACGATCCAGGAGGCTAAAGTAAACTGCATCTACTGACTGTTCCTAAGCTGCTTGCTGATGTGACCAGAGACTATGGTTGCTTCAGGCACCCTTCTCCTTCAGCAACCCTACCCATAGAGGTGGAGCTGCGGGTTGTAGAGCTCATCAGCTGAGATGGTTGACAGAGAAGTTCTGCCTCTGGGTGTCGTGCATTGAGAGGTATCTCCAGCAGCAAGTCTTGATCAGAGTCGGCATACTGAGGAGGGACCAGTAATGATAACTTTTCTGGGGGTAACATGAATAAATTAAGTGCTCCTCCAGTGCAGGTTGAATCTTTGGTGGCGTAGCCAGATTTTGGCAAAGATGAACTTTCAAATTGAGGAGCCAAAGCCCCAGATTTTAGAACTCGTAGAGGACTCCTCATGGTACCATCTAGTTCTGCATGTTTACAAGCAAAGCAAATAAGAACCCTTCTTTGTGTCACTGACATAAGGACATAGTGAAATAGGAATATACTACATAAGACATTTTTGGATGTCATAACTAGAAACTTGATGCAAATCAGGATCAGAGGAACTAATATTGCTAACCTGCATCACTCTGAAAGTGGGTGTCACGGGATCTTTTGAGTGGTTTCATAGTAGACTTGGCAAAGCCTTCCGGTTCATTGATGCTCCCCACTCCCCTGGTTTCCTTTGTTCCCTTTTCCTGAACAGAGAAAGAATTAATTAGCCATGTACAAGCAAAGCTTGGAAGTTCACATAGGCATTAATTTAAGAGACAATAAAGTCAAAGGGGAAAGCAAATGTAGGTAAATGTATTAGAAAGCATTGTAATACCTTCTTCTGTTTATAGCACTCCAGCCATTTGCATTTTGTTAAATTAGTTAAGGCAAGCGTCTTCACTTTCTTCCATTCCTCATCACCAGATAAGGATGGGTCAATAATTCCCTCTCCAAGCAGCATCTGGTAGCTGTCTATAGCATCAGAGAATTGGATAGAACTGAACATGCTTCTAAGGCTGCAGCAAGAACAAGACACAAATGAGGACTAGCACAAAGTGACCACAATTTGTATTAGTGAAACTTTGGGCAAGAATAAGTAAACCTTTCAGGAGGTGCCAAGGAATCCACAGGAGGAAGAAATTTGAGCAACTGTTGTTGATCCTCTTTAGTTAGATATTTCATGAAGTTAGTATAGTTTATAACATCCTGCTCAAGAAGGATAGGGCAGCATACAGGTTGAGTTTCAATGATTAGCCAAAATATGAAAACATTAAACATATCCAGTGGTGTCCAGTGCAAATAAACATATACAGATCATCAACCTGAACAAAAAAGCGTGCATAGGAAGGATACCTCTAAATCTACTGAAACTAAAGGTGAATCAACACTCTCCAGGACATGCTGATTCTCATAATGAAGTTTATCCCTGCAAAACAGAGATACAGAACAAAAAAGAAAACTTAAATTGTTTCTTACCAAAGTAACTTGTTTAACCAATTTTCAATGAGCATAGAGAATAAAACCAATACTCAAATACCACTTCTATGCTAATAAGAATAGAGAAATTTTATAGCGCTTGGAAATAATGAGAGCCATTCATTAGGATAGATCTGATGGTTAAAAATTAAGAAGAACCGATACAGAGGAACTTAAGTTGTGGAGCGGAACTTAAAATTAGTGGGGTATGAACCAGTTACATATTAATTTCGAAGGGTATAATAGTACATTTAGGGTTTCTGGCTTGGCCTGATCCATGTGGACGGCGTTTCGGGAGAGGCGGCCGGCGAATCAACATCGGTGGCAGCGCCTATGGCAGCCCACTGTCCTACTCGCCGTCTTCCACTCGTCCCCTCAGCCCTCATCACATTCGTCGCTGTGCAGTAAGAGGCAGGGACGAGCACAGCAGGGCGTGTGTCAAGTCAAGCAGCCGGTGTGGAGCTTGGGGAGGGGCTGGTGCTCGGGTCCGACGCAGCCAAGCAGCAACCACTTGGGGAAATGAAGCTAGGCGAGTCAATAGTATTCTTAAAATCCATTGATGCGTAATCTAGTTCGTGGCCCTTGTGGGAGCATCGGATTTGGCCCATTCTTGAAACAGCGAACCAACAAACAACGAATATCTGAAAGCCTACAGATAGGCTCTGAATTTTATCATCAGAGAGGTGTTGCATGTCTTTCGCCGGCTCATTGTTGCAACAAGTCTCTAAGCTTATTGATGGCTAACCTCAGTTCAGTAGCAATACTACCCAGTACCCACTACAGTCAGGTAGGAATTCAGTAAAGTACTACTTTGCATTTGTCGTTGTGGAATGTTACCCTGTATTTCCTCACTACATTCAATAACATAACATCACCTACAACTAGTTAGCACTGTGGTCTTGTTCTTGATGAACCCGTGTTGGCTGGCACACGCCAATGCTGGTGGCGGTAAACCGAACTAAATTATTCTAGCACTTCTGATGCCAACGTTCCCAATCACCTTGGCCTCAATCCCAGTCCCCAGCCGCCGCTGCTGTCGAGGATGAGCCCAACGCCCCAAGAGGCCGAGGTTTTGGAGAGGGAGCCGTCGCCCCATGGTTTCAATCAAGCGGAGAAGCATAACTGCGCACAAGTGCACAATGTACCACTTGCACGGAGACTACCGAGGCGGGCTTGGGCAGGCAGGCAACGGTGCCCTGGGCAATCGAGCTGCGGCGATGCAGGCGGCAGAAATACTCTAGTGTCTGGTCGGTCTAAATTAGAGTTAATGGTGAGCTGGGTAAAAGTACTAAAGTACCCCTAATTACAATAATTATCTTTCGTTAATGATCAACGGCTGGAAATAAACCTGCTAAGCACTGTAACAAGTCTCATAAGAATATAAAACGTATAGTACCTTCTAGCAATGTCTTCCATATGCAGCGGCGACTTCTTCGGCCTTGCAGTTGGAGCATTTAAGTTAATTGCTGCCTTGTTTCCACTGTGAACGACAAACGAGGCAGAGCCTGAATATGATTCACTTGTAATGTATGATTTATTATCTGCAGGAATGGAGCTTGCTTCTGATTCTTCCTCCAGTGATTTCGAGTTTGGATGTCTTAGAAGCACACTTCCAGAGCCTATCTCAAAGGAACCGACAGGAGTTTCAGTATGGTATAGTAGGTCTTCCTCTGATGATCCTGAAAGGTTATACAACTGCTCTCCATGCATGATGGAGTTCAGATCTTTTGCAAGCTTTTCTACAGGTGAAGGCTTCGGACGGGTGACACAGCTCCTCTTTCTTGATGGCACTAGGGACTCCCAAGCATGTGACTGTGCTGAACCTGAATTGGCAATACATCAGAGAGTCAAATAACATAGTAGAACAAAGAAAATAAGGTAAGTTCTACATAAGCATGGTAAATGTTGAGAATCGTTATTAGATCTTCATTTTGTTTCATGGTTCAATTTCATTAGATATCACTTCAGAGATGTGATTAAGGTATACACGCTATTGGCAAATCTTGTGAATCGGTATTAGACCTTTATGGTGTTTCATGGGGTTGATGTGATTAAATATCACTTCAGAGATGCGGTAAAGGGAGACACACTATTAGTACGTATGCTGTATCAAGTATCAATATTTACTTATTTAGTGAAATATTATCTTCACCATATATTAGGCTCCATGCCATCTGAACCCAATATGTAATAGATCGCAATCCTTCATTGGCCTCGTTCGCTTGTCTTAAATTTGGCTTGTTCGGCTTATTTTTTCAGCCGGAACAGTGTTTTTCTCTCACAACAATTCAGCCGGAACAGTGTTTTTCAGCCAGTTTCAGCCAAAGTTCAGACCAGCGAACGGGGCCATTGTTTGCTCATGATAATAATAGTAAGTAATTTCGTCACAAGTAGCTATGATTTATCAAACCCAATATGAGTTCCTCATCTAGACTAAGACAAAACAGGAGTTTATACTAAAAGAAAAAGTTTGGGTGGAATCACTATGTTCATGAAAAACAGAGACGAACAATCAGATCTGCATTACAAACTTACTACTGATATGATCTCCAAAAGGGGAGCAGTATAGAATAAAAATATACGACATCTAAATAAAATTTTAGTTTATTGAGCATAACTTTGAAGACGAGCATCCAAGAATGCACTTCTGACACTAATAATCACTCATCAAATTGAATACAATCACATGTGCATCGAAAAGAATGAGAGGGAACCCGAACCATATTATTAAGAAACAGTATAGTAGGCATCGAGATCACTGACCAGTCATTTCACTTGCATCAGCAGCACCATATGGGGCACAACTCTCAGAGTATGATACTGCAGATCCCGAACTAGACTGATAGCTTGGGTCAACACCCCCCATCTTTCGGAAATTCTGACCAGAAAATGGTCCATTCTCCGTTATAATTTGATTTGGTTTTTTCTTCTGTGACTTCGACTTTGATGTCGGTGGCTTCAGCTTGCTAACTCTGGGTTCAACATCATCAATATCGTCCTTGCGGTGCATTGGGGTGTAGTTTGCCAATGAACCCTTTGTTCTCCATCTCGAGCCACAAGCATTGCAGAGCACCGGCTTATCTGGTGGCCCATTTCGCCACAGGGGAGTACCTGTTCCAGCATTTTGCCATGAGAAATCCATCAAAACTGATGCACAAAAATATGCCCGGCATACAGGTTCAGAGTTAATATCACAATTTACATGTAGTAGGAGATGATGCCAAGGTAGGGAACATAGAAAAAGGGCAATAAACTATACACATTATCAAGAATGTAACCAGAAGGCATCATGAAACTAATCACATACATTCAGACTAAATATTTCAGATAATGCTTTCAGTGCCTCAATGGTTAGTTCAACTGTACAGGCTTGCAATTCTTAATCTGCTGCGGTACGCAATGGTGATACTGAATGCATATAGCCACTTCAAAGGAGCATTTTGCAGCAGTAAGAGCTACAAAAAAGTTCAGAACATATAATGCTATTGGCACGAAATGGGATATGCCTCTGTACATTAAACAGGAAACCTAAGTTTTCACTTCAATGGCACCCTGAAACTAAGTATTTATGTAGCTGCAGCAGCAATCGAACTCTAGTTTATCTGATTGGCAGAAACAAATGGTTATTTTCTTATTGTAGAATAGGAGTCTGAGCTGCATCTAATCTCCCATTATCTGCAGAAGTTATCTAAGAAGTGTATATCCACCGTAGTAAAAAACAAGTCTAAATGTGTTCTGTGAGCATGGTATAATCTGTTCCTCACGTTGAGAATTTTACAACCGTATCCACAGATTGAGTACTCCCACAGATTTCTCTTGAACACTCCCCGGGCAGTTCAATGAATTCGGACTAGTAACAAACCATCAACGAACACAGAAAGAACACGGAAACATGAGGAATCCGAGTCCCACGCAGTCCAAAGATTTAGTCCGAGGCCCGCTTCCCAGATGCATAATTGGGGGAAATCATCTCCAAAGAAGTACTACTTGCTGAGGAACAAGGGGGGAAGGGGGACGAAAACAAGAGAAAAAGAAAAAACAACTGGAAGAAAAATTCTAGCTTTATTCAAGAAAAGAGCTCACTTGTGACTCCGCAATGATGGCAGGGTCCTTGCTTCCCCATGATTTTCTCTGCTCCTCACCACCTCACAGGTGAAGAAGAACGGACCAGAGGAAAATCCCAAGAAAACAAACACGGGAAAAACAAAGCACAAACAAGCAGTTTCGCCTGTACAGGTAAATTCTTGAGCAAAAGAAAGGGGAAAAAATCAAGAACTATTTCTCTGTATGAATCTCGTCAAACCCAGAGGGGATTCCTGGGAACAATTCCACAGCCCATGGAGTTCTCAAAAACCAAGTCCTGCTTGGTTGGTGTTCTTCTTCCCTTCTTCCTTTCCTTTCTATATGTTTTCCTCGTTCTGTATCCAGTCTTTTAGAGAGAGGGTAGAGGAGAGAGAGAAAGAGAGGGGAAAGGGATGGAGAAATAATAGAGGAAGGAATGCAGCAGCAGCAGCCAGAGGGGGATTTACAAAGGCCGGGTGAAAGGCATTTGGAGAGGAATAAAAAAGAATTATAGTATAGTTTAAAAGCTGGATGTTTTTATTAACTAGAGAGATAAGCAATTAGCAATTGGGCAAAGTAGGAAAAGGAGATGAGGTAGAGAGCGAGAGGCAGGGCAAAGCTTCTCTGTCGTATCTTTCGGGCCTTGGGGTTGGTTTTTGTTGTGATTTCATTTCATCCAATTCCATTATTATCCATGTGGTGTGACTAAGTTGAAGTTGAGGATATTTCTTTGCACTAATTAGGCCCCGTTTAGATGTCTCAAAACCCAAAAAAATTTGCACAGTACCCATCACATCAAATCTTGCGGCACATGTATGGAGTACTAAATGTAGACGAAAAAAAAAATTAATTACACAGTTGGCGAGAAATTGTGAGACGAATCTTTTAAGCCTAAATAGTCCATAATTAGATAATTTTTACCAAATACAAACGAAAGTGCTACAATAGCCAAAAGCCAAAAATTTTCGGATCTAAACACGCCCTTAGTCAATTTACTCAACTTTAAAGGCCTCCACTCTAGGTACATTAAAAGAATCTTTTTGCCTTGTGCCATTTGCATCTCACCCCCTCGAGAAAGAGCACATGTTCAGTGCAACAAAGTCGTGTACGCAGTGCATCGTCCGGATATGCTACACAAGCTCAAACTGCTCAACCGGAGATCCTGTATATTATGTGAAGTTGACATTGAAAAATTCATTTTGATAGGTTAAAATAGTTTTTATAGGGCACGATGCAGTTCGGTGTATGCACTTTTTTAGGCATGCTATTGCGAGATTATTAGGCACCCTTTGGCAGATTTTTGCTATGTTTTCCATAACTCTATACGTGCACATGTGGGAATGGTTTTTAAAGCTAAAACCAAGTTAAAATCAATGAAGTCCAGGCCATTTCGCCTATAAAGCCGAAGCCACAGGAAAAATGGTTTTTCCTGGTAGAGATGCCCAAACCCTACTAAAAAGTGATAACTTTTTATCGTGCGAGAAACGCGGGAACGTACTATATTTAAAAAAATATATAATTGTTGTGCATTTCATATCTCATGAAATAATTTAGGCATGTATTTAGAAATGAAGTACTACAAGTCAATTTTTTGTGAGCTTCTGGCATCAATTCATGGATAAGAATTGAAAATATGTGTCTGCATGAAGATTTTAGGCGAAGAGATCAGACATGGAGGTGACCAAAGAAAGGTGGAAAATATTTTTGAAGTGATGATGTTCAATGCATAAGATAAAATCCAAAGACACCAAAGGAGTGTGGATTATTACTTTGGAAAGAGAAAAACTGAGAACTTACAATGCGACGTCTAGAAGACACACAGGTGAACTGAGGGCGAGTCATTTTCTGGCATCGATCTCGGCTGCTCCCCCTTGCCTCTGGTGACCTCTTCGGCCCCAGAGGGTGGGGAAACCTCGATTTCAACCGGTGTACATACCCTATGCTACTAGGTTTGTATTAGGTAGGTTAGGGTTCAATTTACTTGTGGTGGCGACGTTTTCACGGGTGTTGTTGTTGCCTCCGTTTCATCACGGCCAGTCGCGTGGAGGACTTCGGCACGGTTGGTTGCAGGGCGCCCTTCGGCTTGCGGTGCTTCGGCTTGTTCACCAGCGGAAGTGTAAAGCTCCCATTCCCTCTTTTTCGAAAGGGTGAGCACTTTCGGCATCCCCTTTGGTGGGTTCCTTGTTCATGTTGTTGACAGTGCTGGCAGTGGTGAAATAATCTTCCGATCATCGGTCTCATGGTCGGCGGTGGCAGATCCCTCTTCCCCTCCTTTTTCTTCACATGTCGGCAACCGATGCTTGTTTAGCGCCAACAATGCATTCTGGTGGAGTTTCGAGGCGCTCGCCATGCGGCAAATCCAAGGGTTGGCGCCCCTTGTGAGGCTAGGAGGTGGATCTTGGATTGATCTCGTCAGTTGTTTTCGGCGGATGAAGTTTAGGCAACGACGACGAGAACATTCTTGTGTGTCTGGGTGTCGTGTGTTGTAATTTCTAAATTTGCCAAGGTGTTTTCTGTAAGATTGGGAATGTATCGTGCTACGGTTTCTTAATATAATTTTTCCTTTCGCAAAAAGGAAGACACACAAGTGAACTGAAAAATTGCAATAAGATGAATACCACAGCAAACTGATGTTTATGCACCTCTTCGATTACAGTCTAAGATAATTGGTACAAGCTTAAAGGGGTAGCAACCACAGCACAATAGCAATAGCTCTTAGGTAGCATGAGTTAATTTTTTTTGCAAGGATGAGTTAGGTTTATGGTATCTAGTGGTCTCTTAGACATAGTTCACTGGAGGAGGTGGTAGAGGGAAACCCTATATCACTATCTGCGTTAGGAAATGTGAAAAAAATAGTCAAAATTTGATACCTCTTTGGAATAAGCACAAATTGTATTTGCATTCGTGTTTTTTTTTTGTTTACACGCTATTATTGATGTACAAAATCCCTCTTCCCTCTTGGCTATTCAAAGTATGCAGACGACTAAAGTAGAAAGTTATTAGGAGTATTAAATAGAGAAATCTCCTAGGATATGTGGACATAATCTCCTAGGTAGCGTATAAACTCATATTAGTATTTAGAAGCAGAGTGCGAAAGCACTCCAACAACGTCCCAACATGGAAGGCTGCGTGCACAGCACTGTCCCGAAAGCTGGTTTAACGTGTTTGCAAAAAATAACAACAGGGTGACTCGTACTACTATTCTCACCCTGGGTGATCTTGCAAGTCAAGTGTTGAATTTGGCAACGGTAATAATAATGATACCTTGCTTTTTTTCCCTCAAAAAACAAGGTAGTATTAGAATTCCTAGCTGGTGCCATCCAGAAATTTACACCCAAGACAAGCAACTATGCGCTGTATCAAATCCAACTAACAACAGTCATACAAATTCTAGGGTTCTGTTCGGCTAGTCTATAAGCCGCTTGTGCTGATTTATATGACTGATTTGTTAGGAGAGAAAAATAATATATCATGACTGATAAGCCAGTTTATAAGCTGACTTATAATGACAGCCCGGCCTTAAATCTGACCACATGAGTTGCCTCTCGTCAAACCACCTACTACCCGTTTCAACAAGGCATTAAATTCCGCTGGATTCCAGAGATCGGCTCACACACGAATTTGAGTTTGGTTGACACATGAATTTGAGATTGTTTTCCTTTTTTATTTTTTTTATAGAGAGAGTATATTTTCCGCCTGCTTCTCTGAATGAAAAAAAATCAACAAAAAAATATTAGGGCGTGTCTATCACCCACTTCAACGATAGCCATACCTTCACCACTAGCTAGGAAGAGCATAGCAGCGTCAACAAGGGAAGGGGATGCGATGCGAGAGTAGTAGCGGCTCCATCGGCTGACGTATTTTGACACCCAAAACAGGCTGCTATATTCAAATCAGCGATGACACGGCCGAGACAAACGCTACGTCTGAAATTAGGCGATTTACGTGCCAAGGAAATTAGGCAGGGTCACCTCGTCCACCTCGTGCGAGCCATATTTTACTCTGACCCCACCAAATGGCCGGTGTTTCTTCTGGGTTAACATAACATGGTGTCCACACTAGTTTTAGTTGGTACGAGCCAGCCCCAGCTTAGCTTGCCACTGGTTATACCAAACAAGGCTATTCCAAAACAGAAGACACAATTTATAAATGCGGGATATTTTCTCTGTATAAAAAAAATCAAATCCATTTTCTCACGCAACCAAAAAACCAACGGATTTTTCCAGGAAATAAAAGATGTATCCCACTACCCTCCGTCCCAAAATACTTACTCAAATGTTCCAACCTAGCAGCTAATTATTAAAGATGCTTTGAAGAAATTTGCCATGTACCGGAGTACCACTACTTATTAAAGGTGGCCAAAGCTAATTACTAGGAATAAGTCGCTATTTTTTTTAAAAAAAAATGCATGGATACATGCAGACCACAGTCACATACGGTGCTAAATTAATTAGACGGTAGGTGGAACGCTATATGGGCCCAATCTATGTCAAAGAGCTAAAACCTTAAATTTCTGGGATAATTTTTAAATCTTAAATCATCAAGTTTTTTGTTGCAATACTACAATGCATAGCCTGTTCGACAGGACTGAAAAATAAGCTAAAATACTGTTCCAGCTGATTGTTGTGAGAGAAAATACTATTCTGACTTAAATCACTGTTCACGTGAACAGTGATTCGTGAGGGGAGCCAGCCAGCCGAACAGCCCCCATGATCTTATCTCAAATGGTCCAACCTTCAATAACAAATCATGTTTGTGTCCACTAGAGATTATGAAAAGCAAATTGCAGACCGTGGATGGTGAAAAACTTGGATTTTTAACACTTTGTACTATAAGAAGCTGGTAGGCATCCTAAATTTTAGGATGGTGGGATTTATGTTATCTGTTGTTTAATGTCTACTGTGCCCTAAGTTTATATTTAGTTCTTATTCATTTAGAGCGTTGTTTTTTACTCTTAAATTAAAAAATTAAACAAATTGATACATCATCCAAAAGATAGAGTAGCATAATAACGATACATGGTCGAATGAATGCAAATTTTGTCCCCGCAAATGATACATG